ATTTATATTATATACTTTTTATCAATTATCTAAAAGTTTTTCAAGAATTGACTCATGATGTTTCTGCAATAATCGATTAATTTATAATTCTTTGCAATTACAAGGAACAATAAATACTTTATGTTCGTAAAATATTTTTGCTATGCGATTTATGATTTTAATGCAATGATGTTATGTGACTGTGCAATGTGATTTAACAAAAAATTAACCATTGAAGGATCAAACTGTCTAACCTATAACAATACTAAGGAATATATTCTCTAGTCAAATACATAGTAATTACAAATGCTTAAAAATCGGCCATCATCTATTTACTTAAAAAAATAAGTTTAATGTATTTAATTTATGTTATAAAAGGTTAACATTTTTTCAAAATAAATTATTTTGTGTAAATAAGTCTTTGAAAAATATAGTAAGATAAAAAAAAGAAATTCTAATGTAATGGTTAAATTGGTTAACTTTGTTTTTTTACGTGAAATTCGCAAATATCCTATGTATGTAAAATTGAAAAGAGAAAACTATTTCTTATAAATTTTATTTTTATGTGTAAAGCAATATTTGATTCATTTTATGAAAATAACTAGCCTTTACAATAAGGATTCATTTTTATTCAAAGGCGTTGTCAGAATTTTCTTTTCGGGGTTAGCAGCAATTGTTTAATTTACGTAATACAAACAAAAAAAAAAAAAAATGATTAAATTGCATGTTTTATTTTAATGTGCAAAATATTGTAAATTGAACCTTATTAAATATTTTGAAGACTGTTTTATCAAAATACACATGATTGAATAGTAAACTAATTGATTAAATAACTCAAAAACAACTACATCCGTTGACACTATAAAATATTATTTGCATTAGTGCGAGTTTCTGCTTTTCTCGTTTTTCGTGTCTCGCCAATGCTTAAAATGTACAGTTTCTTTATTTTCGCAATGTTCATACAAACGTGCATTATATGCACCTATGCTATACGTCGTTTTATACAGAGATAATTCTTTAATGTGGACAAGTATTAGAATACATCGTAATGACTACCAACATAGCTATCATCGAACTATAATGGATATTGTCATGATTATTATTACGATAAATTTGGTTATAGAAAGTAAACATAAGGTACACGGCTACAACCATTTAGAAATAACATTTTCGAAGGTATGTGTTCTTTTATATTTTTATTTTTATTCTTTTTTTTTCATACAATATATTTAATCGTGTTGTTTATCTAAGATATTTTTACACTTTTTCAAGCATGTATTGTTGCCGCGTTAGGTACATGAATGTACAATATGAGTTAATATATATATATATATATATATATATGTATAGAATTTTGGTCAGTGCTCCGTATCAATTATATACTGCCATTGGCGCCGAAACGAACACACCTTAAGACGGTACGACGCCCTACTTCCTGGCAAGCTACAAACAATCTCAGGTAAAAACAATTATAATACGATTGTTTTCTTCTAATTTGGTACTCATCGGCGCGGAATTAATACGGAAAATCTCCGCTTGTTTTATCATCTGAGATGATCATACATCTCGTCAACGTATATTGACCCGAACAATAGAACGATACATCGTCATTTTGGAGTCTTGTATAGTTTTCTAAACTCGGGGTTCGTTTAATTCTTTCATCAGATAAAATATTCATCATAGACATAAGCGACAAAAATATTCATCACAGAAACGAGCGACGTAAACATTCTGAATAAAACAAGGAATGTATTGGTTTTACCATGATGTGTACTTTTTTTGTGTATCTGTGTGCACGATTTCGACTATAGTCGAAATAGAAGGGTTACTACGATCATCACCGATCATCACGAACATAAAATATTTGTGATAGGAAATGTTGTATAGTTGGTACTTTTATAGGAATTGTTTTTATCGGAATCGTTTTACGAATTTCTCAACATTTTTCTTAGTAAAACTGATAAAAATATTAAAAAAGTGACAAGATTTACGACATACCGGTTTTCGACCGGTAATAATCATTATTTTTGTTTTCATTAACCCAAAAAGTAATATAGGAAGACATTTAAAATTTTCACTGAATGCTTATATCACCATTTGCTGTACACAATATCATTTTCAATAGCATATTTTGAGCAATTTTTAGAAAGTTAAAAATGTCATTCAAACGTTAAAAGTTCAATTTACTTTATAAGAAATTTGGATAATTGTTCCACCCGACCTCTTTCACTAAGAATAATTTTTTTTTTTTTTGAGAGCAATGGTACATTAATTTAAAATTCAATCCCTTTATCTCACCCAACAACTCAATTCACCCAGGAATTTCGCCCTTTTTTTTATTTTTATTAACAATTTTCAAATTATCAATTGACTTGGAAATGTACGAGTACAATAACTGTTAACCAAGAAATGTATAAAAACGTGTTAACCCATAAAATTATTGATTTTTTTCAACGATGTATTTGCGTATAATTTTTTCCGATTAAAATATTTAATTTATGCCATAAACTAGACTAAAATCCGTACGATGGCATTGCCCATGAGTTGTGGCACAATGTAATGCGTAAATTTAAACTAAGCGTAAAACAATTTTCATTATATACGCAAAATGAGTTCAGTTGGATTTTAAAATAAAAACTGTTTTTAACACTGCGTATTTTAATACATAATCTTCATAAGAAATACTAATATATAAAAAATATCGGTATTTTATCTGTGTGGTGTTTTCGATGTACATTTATAAATAATATTTAAGTAAGTGATTATACAACTCATTGGGGTGTTCTTTATATGAGATTTATTTTTAATTTTATAAATTAACAAGTATATCAATATACCTATATCTTTGCTTGAATCATATTTAACCAACTACAAAATATATTCAAACGAACTCATTGTTTGCCTCGTTACTAAACGTACGATTATTTAAATCATTAAAATCGACATCTAAACATTGAAAACCTACAAACTATAACTGCACAGTAATAGTATATACACATATATTACCTATATACGTATTTCATAGTAGTCTTCCTCTTAGGTAATTAATAATTTTTAAATATTCTGATGACAAATGTGCTGATTAAATAAATGGATAATAAATACTTATTAATAAATAGTATTTGCAAGTATATTTATAAACTAGTTAATCCAACTACTGTTCCTGAAGACAGAATAGTATTACGTAATAGTAAATGATAACTATCATTTAATATACATAACATTTTTCTGTCGGATGGTTAATAGCTTATAGGATGATAATAATGAACATGTAAAACGTACACTCTGTATAGCGAATAACCTTATTATCATTTTATATAAGTTTGATACACATCCAAAATCAATGTAATAACATTTCGTTTATCTTGTTTCTAAAAATGAAGTAATAACTAAATTTAAATTATCCATAGGGTAATATAATCCATAGGTATATAAAGATCCGTATATAGAGTATGTAGTACGAATATATTTATTTTAAAAAACAATTTATTAACCGTTCGATTCAATTGAGTAAATATTGTCATTTATGATATTGACAATTGTTAATTGGTATTACCACAATGAAAACGATGTTAAGCTGATTAAAAATCTCTGTTTATTATAAATGTGGTATTAAAAAAAAAAAACTATTCAAATCTAACTTAATTTTCAAATAAATATACATAGTATAAATATAAGTTGTGGAGAAACCATGAGAAGTGCAATTTCCCAGGAGTTATTGGCCTAGGCTAATTATTATTGTTACGAGTTAAGTTTATTTTGACCTTTCTGTAAGGATTTTAACCAAAAATAACCTTGTATTTTTTTTTTTTATTTCATAATTATTATACACAAATCATGATTTTAATTTGGTTTTTTTAACATTTATACACAAAGAAAATAAATAGTGATGATACGAGTAGTAATTGAACTTTAATAATTAAGTATTTTTCATATTACCACAGTATAATTGTATATTGAAAATAATTCTTAACGCAAATCACAGGTTCATAATACTAACAAAAACACATACATAAGTATATATATATATATATATAAGAATAAAAATTATTTGTCATCTGGGAAACGAAAAAATAGGTTGATATTATAATGTGAGAAAAATATCTGCATTGAACAGTTTTCTAATAAAAAAAACTGAAAACTAAAAAAATTAGGTTACCTACTTTAATAGGTATGCTTAGAGTGTAATTATATATGATAAATCTATAATCTATATACTAAATGCGCTTTTTGTCGACTCGTTTATTCATATATAATAATAATAATAGAGAACATTACATGCTTGTAGTTCCAGTATAATATACCGAAAATCGTCATCGTCATCCCGAGTTTCGAGTTTAAGTGTTATAACAAACGCAAGAGCATAAGAGTGTGACAACGGACCAAATAAATTCCTAGGTATAAGTACCTGTCTGCGTATAGCGTTTGTGTATTTATCTGAATAAAACCGATTAAAATTGTTAAGTAATATGAACGTTTCGCAAGAAACCATTATTGTTATTTATACATCTATACAACGTTAAGATATTCGGCATGTCGATCGTGTGTGTAAGATTAAACGTAACTGATACTTTGACACTATATATTATGAAACTCTGCAGCTGCCCAATGCATATTGTCTGTGTCGGTATACAACATTATACAATATACTTACATAGATAATTCCTACCTATGTGTGTAAATAATACTATAATATATATTGTATAAAGTATTTATCATGAATGTCATTTGTAGAGGCGAAAAAGTGCCCCTCCGGCTATTATTATTATTATTATTATGATCTTTATTATATTGTTAATTAATTACACGTTTACTCAGTGTTATAAATTATATTGTCATCCGTAGAGAATATTGGAGTGCATTAGATGAGCATTGTCAACGAATCAATAACTTATAGAATATATACCTTGTAGATGTTTGTCAATGGGTGTTGTAAAAGTTATTAGCTATTGTTCGAGTTAAAAATGTACGAAAACGCGCGTCTTACACCTAAAAAACATTCTATCGCGTAAAACACTTACGTTGTACGTGACAGACGTCGGTTTGTTCATTTTGAATACATGGGTAAATGCCGCAAAATTCAGCGCCCAACTGCCACTACTTCAGTATGTGTAGGTATCAAGTAGTTCGCGTGTGATGCACAATTGGTGTACAGATATCGGCTCTCTTGTGGATGTAGTCGATCGCGAAAGATGAGAAAAAAAATCTTATCACAGTTCACTACTACAATGCGTCATATTGTATATTATGGTCTGTCGTTGAAAAAAAAATACGCTGTCCTCGGTTTCACAAATGATGTATCAATTCGGTTTTTTTTTTTTTTGTTCTTCCCGATCTCCTACGATCGAGTGTTTTCGTTTGACGGCAATTAAAACTGGTTAATGGATTATGACGACGACGACGGAAAAACAAATGCGAAAAAAGAAAGAAAAAAATGCAACAAAAAAAAAAAGAAAAAGAAAACAATACGGAAATGTGTTTGCAGTGACAACTACAACCGCGGTACGTTGAACAAAACGTACGGTGAACGACGCCGCCGGTCTGGTGGTAAGACGGTTACTGACGCCGTCCTGCTGCCGCGATAACTGCCGGCTACTTCTGCCGGTATCATTATTACATTGTGTATTATTCTCGTTCTTGGCGGGGAGACAGGTATCTGTATGCCCTGTAGAATGAAGTCGCTGAACGTTGTATAGAGTCAACACACATACATACACACAATAATGGTGGTCAATGCACTTTGGATTTTGTCCCGCGAGTTCAACCCGATAAAATACACATACACACATATATATATATATATATATATTATATATATGTCAGTGTGTGTGTAAAATAATTACACATACCTGCCGCCGCAAGTATTTTGTATATAATACACACACGCTATGTGTCACGCACAAATCAACTAATATATTTTCTTTTTCGACGTTACGTGATGTTTTTTGAACCGAGGACTGAAGAAAATAATTTTTTTACCATAATATTTTATGGTAGTGCTGTGACCAGGATTTATTAAATTGTAGGGGTTGCTGAACATCAAAAATAATATATTCTCGTTATTAATTTTCCATTGTTCGATTTAAGAATAAAATGTATAGATATATTCTATATATTATATACATGTACCAGCTGGGGTAAAAAAGGGTCGGTTCTATTCTGTTGAAAATTCTGTAGCCCGGCCCCATTATATTACCTACTCGTTATGTATGTATTGTTTAACGTGATTCCTCTGCAAGTGTTTTAAAGTATCTTAACAATTATATAATTCGTCACTAAAAGTTTTAAAAATACACTTATCAAATGGTGTGTTAACTGTCATATATGCATATATCTTTTTCGTAAAATCGCTCAATTTAATGTAAACAACTGTTGGTAGCGTTTAATTTTTTCCGCGTACATTTGAATTGTGAATAATATTGTGTTGTCGTGTTAATGTTACATCGTAGTATAGAACATAATTATTGCTTGGATGATGATGGCAAATTGTATTCATAAGAGCCAAGAGCTACCGTTTGTTTATCATTGTACTGTAATACTGCACCTACTCCATAAAACATCTATAGACAGGTGGGTACTACGGTAGTATTTATGTATTCATAATGTGTTCACGGAGTTGAACGTAAATATTTAGCGACCCGAACGGTATACGACGGAAGAACGGACGTGACTAGAATGAAGCATATTATTTAACATTTCATGGCAAGATCAAGAGAAGAGGGTGTTAGAAGTTTTTTTTTTTACTTATTTTTTTTTTTGAATAATCTCGCTTTTCAAATTTAATGACAGCTAGAAAATTTTTCTTCCGTGATCATCGATACCCACACAATGTTTTTGCCTTTTTAGCCGTCATATTATACATATATTTTATGTATTATATTTTAGCAGGTTCAATACATGCCGAAACCTAAACACCATAATATCAAATGATTAACGAGTACCGAGTAACCTATAATATTCTTCAAATAACATTTTGTATACCGTCCAGTCGTTCCATATTTGGCACCTATCAAATCAAATACGAATGCAAAATTATAATCGATAGCCATGTTTTATTTATATTATAATAATGTACATGAAGTAGCAAATAATATTATACGGTTGGCATTAAAAATCATAAGCGTGATATATCTCTTACATATATTATATATGAACTTATAATATTATATATTTCTAACGAGCATAGCCAAAGAATCCTTATGTTGTGTATACTTTTGAGTTTACATAAAATATTCAAACATTTCGTTCTTGTTTCTAATGTAGGTCAAGATGAATTATAATTTAAACGTGCAAAAAAATAATTATGTGTGATAACTCTGTAATATTTTGAATAGCATAAATTATAATTAGGCACATAATTTAATAAGCATTGTACATAAAAATATATGTAATGTGTAAATCTTATTAAATTATTGTTATTTATTGTTTAGTCTTAGTGGATGTAAAATGTACAGAACAGTAAAACATAGATGATTAGTTTTATATAATTTAATATTTAATAATTAAAGTTTTTTGTAGAATTTAAAAAAATAATTATTTTTATTATTATTTTACTACGATGATCTTGTTAATTAAATTGCAATATTAATGTAATATTCTATTTGCCGAAATAAATATCTTCATCTTACTTATTAATTATGTAACTTATCAATATAAATAATTTATTATTTCATAATTTTTAAAGCTAGGTATGTGTAGTTCAATATCCGTGTTAGAAAAGTATATTATAGGTTTAAATTTACTTTTTACAATTTAAAAAAAAAGATAATTTAATTATATTTATCAACACTGGATATATCATGTCCTGTGAATCCTCGTGGGCCACTTTGTGTATAATAGTTATAAATAAAATATTAAAAATTTTACATTTTCAATGAATAATCAATTTATTTTCGAATGCATGATATGAGTATTATTTTTAGCTGATATTAATACAATTAATTACAATTAAATTATTACAGTATTTTAATTCACAGCTTTTCGGAGACTTTAACGCATTGTTGCAATAATAATTTTATAAATATACAATTATAACAATAAAGTAAAAAATATAAACTTTTGGAGAATGAGAAAAGTTGTTGCATAAGCCAGGTAGGTGATTTGATAAACTTAACTACCATTATAAGTTCCATATATTATTTATACTCAGAAATATTAAATGTATTATTTCCAAAGATTACAATATTTTTTAATCACTTTAGTATGATTAAATAATATTACATAATACGAGCTATTTCCTATACTTATTTTTCAAACATAGATAATAAACAATATATTAACAATCAATATAATAATGAATAGTATAATTAAAAAAAAAACAAAAAGGAGTGCCATCAAAACATTAATTTTTGACACGAGGATAAAATCCATTGAGGTTCTTAAATTAATGGTCTTCTCCTATGAAGTAATTTAGAAGTAATTATTTTACTAGATGCAAATACTTATATTTTATTTATTGTGGAATCCTAGAGATGATAACGGAGAAGATGAAAAGTATCTAGCTTTACTTATGAAAAAAAAAAAAATTGGAAATTTTGTACTTACATGCTATACGCGTTTCGGTAGACTTCACTATTTTAGTATAATTATAATGTTACAGTAAAAAAATATCTTCTTTAAGATTATCCAATGTGTCACGCACCACTCGGTGCGATTGACTTTGATGAGCGACAACAGTGAAACCATTTTAATTTTCACTTTGAGTGGTTAAAATAAAAATCAGATTTATATAAATGTTATAACAAATAATATTATACTAATTTAAGAACCCACAACGATTATTATATTATATGTTATTGTGCAAGTACGTAAATGTATGTAATTGATTAAATTCATGGTTGTACAATTAAAACAATAATTCATGTTTATAATAAAATAATAGTGGACCGCTCCATACGGTGTCGTGTTTTATTTTTACTGGTGTTTTACTCTCTAAACTAGACACCGCAGAGATTTAAACAATGTCTCATTTTCAAATTAATATAATTTAACAATCACCGATTACTTTTTGTTTGAATTTTTTTTAAATATCATCGTTATTAGTGGTAAAACATAAATCTTATTTTATCTAGTACCTGTATGAGAAACGTTTTGTATTTTTTTAAAAATTTTATTCGCAAATGTGATACACCGATTGTTTTTATAACAATTATTGATAATCTGTCGTTGGTTTTGCTTTATAATACTTTAGTGTAGTACTGAGAAGTCGACTGAAAGCGAAAACATACTGCAGAAAAAAAGGAAACCGCTGCAGTTTTGTAATACGAATGTTTGAAGAAAATTATTCACATTTTTATTTGATATATACATAGATGTTAAATTCAATTTTTCCCTATTCGTAGTTATTTGAGTTACATTCAAACACTTTTAGACATAACAGTACAAGTAAATCGTTTTCTTTCAATTTTTTCACCAACAACACGTTATTGGATTGGAGATGCGTTGTATTCCGCAAGGTTATTATTTTTTGTTTCTGTTGTGCCCACAAACCTATAGACATAGATAATGGTTAATTTTCTGTCAACTGTCTCTAAATAGACCAACGGGTTTTAATGATACTTAATTATTTGAATAAATTTTTTTTCTAATGCATTTTAATCTCCAATGACCTACATACCTCCAAAATCTATTTAATATTAATGCTTGTTAGCAGTTAATGCTTGCTCTATTATTTATTCGGAACAAGTCGATTATCGAAATCACCGCCACATGTTGATAAGCCATTTCATTGTCGATTTGTTGATTCACCAAAGGCTAATTTTCAGCAATCAGAAAAATCGTAAATTTATCAAGCACATGATGACACATATAGGTACAGAAATTTAGAACCTTTCACGACGTCGAAACTACAGACCATCGTACGTAAGCAATCAACAAACCATTAAGTTGTTCACCGTTACTGGAGGGTGGAGTATTGGAAAGTATTGACCATTGGGTATCGAGTGGGTATGTAGCATGTAGAACGAATAGTGGGAGAGCTCTTTTTACAAGGTACCCTTAAATTTCTTTTTAGGTGGGTGGGTGGGCAAAATCCTAACAGGACTCATGAAGTAAAATATTTCACGCCGCCACTGTGTGCGGCTCCCCAATGACGCGGTGATAAATTCTCAGACCCTGATGCAATTATATAAAGCTAGTTCCATCCACTTACCTTAACAAGAATAACGTGCTCTCCTTAAACCGTATTTCTATGCACTCTATAATATTGACCGATAGTTTTGTTATATAATTATAAATGCTATTCGGTAATTGTTACTTAGTACTACTACTTAAATGTAATATAAGCAAAATAGGAAATTGTTGGTATAAACAACAAGTATACCCGCCATTAATTAATTAGCTCGGTAATCACCTCTACCGTACATTTCTTAAGCTGGCGCAATTGTAGTAGGTAAACATCCGTTACCACGCCATTGCTGCTTCCAAGTTCTCCGTTAGATAAGTTTTCAAAAATGTGACAACAGCTTTACAAAGGACGGCAGATGCTAGAACCGTACGGACCGTCCGGTAGATGAGTAATATAGCCACTCACGATAAAAATATATATACGTTCGTATATTTTTATCGTTTATTTCGTCTTGTCAA